ACCCTCAATTCCTGCCAGCCACCGTAATGAGTAAATAAATGTTACAAAGCCTCTGGGAGCCTCCACCAAGTTCAGAGGGATGAAGGAGAGGCAAGTACAAGTGCCCAGCCGCCAGGCCCGTTTCTGGAAAGCCCAGCACCCGGCAGCTTATGCTGGCCTCCAGGGTATCCATCCCCAGGCAGAGAAGTCTGAGAAGGAGGAGTGGGCCCTTGGCTGGAGCCCACCACTCATGCAGCAGCGGGCAGCCAGGGGCAGGAGGACCTTGTTAACAGCGAAGCTCTGTGACAGCATGCAAAGTGACACTGCCAGGCTCTGTGCCTGTGCAGCGGCACCAACGCAGGCCCCTGAGACAGTGCTAATGCCACCTACCCCAAACAAAAGCTAAGAGACCTACAGGGAACCCCCATCCCAGGGCTCGCTTCAGCCGCCAGCTCAGATCCCAGTCAGGGTCCTCCTTGCCCATCGCCTCCCTGATAGCTGGGGTTGGACCGTCACAGACAATGATCTGGGTGACAGGTGGCAATCTGTAGAGGTCATTAACTTCAGAGTGCCACATTTTAATGCAAAAACGAGCCCTTCTAAACCGGCGCAGCTGAGATGCTATATAAAGAAATGGGGATTTTAATGTTTTTCTTTTCTTCCTTTTTCTAGTGCCACATTATCATAACATTTTCCCATAATTACGCCCATAAAAGTCACCTGAAAATACTTCATGCCACAAAAGTTGATCTACATATTTTATTCCGTGAATGTCGAGTGGCAGGTCCTGAGCTGGGAATTCCAGAGCAGAATTTAGCCTAGAGGCCTGGTGCAGAAGAGATCTGTCTACTGAGCCCGTTTTTGTGTCTGAGAGTCCTCTGGCCTTGGTGAGGTCCAGCTGAATTGGTGCTGATGGGACTGGGAAGGGCATCTGAGGGAAAGAGCCGGGTGGGGCCGAGGGAAGGGAGGGTAGGCCCAAGTCACACCTCTAGTCATGAGTCAGCACTGCTCCCCAGAAGGACACAGGCCTAGACCTGCCTGGAAGTCCCACCTGGGGTCTCCACATGAATAAACCCTGTGAGTGAGCCCAGACCCCTCCCTCCACCTCGCAGATCCTAGGGCTTCCAGGTCAACGAATAAAAACCTCACACAAAAAGGTAACGTATCTTTATGTAATTGAAAGAAACAAACAGCACCATTTCTCCTGCCAGAAATTCATCAAATAAAAATTCAGTAGGAAATTAAAAAAAAAAAAAGATGGAAAACTTCTCAATGGCATCACTTCATTAAGCCTCCAGTATTTTCAATTTTACTTCTTTGAGAACTCCAGAAATAAAATTTGAACAGCAGGAAAGTAGCATATTCTAATCTCTCCTAAATATGCAATAAATTGAATTTATAAAGGAGCTGTAACACCAGAGTGCCCACGCTCAGTTAGTACTCTAATGGATTAAAAACAATTCAAAAGTTGTTTGTAATTTCTTCTCATAGTTGCAGCTGAGAGCATGAGATTTAACTGAAAGGTACAATTCAATTTTGGCACGATTTATTTCGAAAAAAATCCATATCAAACAGATAGCCAAACTGCCTGTCCTCCTCACAACTCCCTGGCACATGGAAATATGGACTGTCCCCACCACCACCTGCTGGGACCAGGGGACATGCTCTACGCTGAAGGGGGGCACTCCTCACCTCTTGCTTCACTACCACACATAAGAATCAGAGCCCTTCACATGTCACAAGGCCTCCCACTAGGTCATCGTTTTCTCCCTGGCTATTGTGGTGTTCAGTAGCCACAGGCCAGTGCAGAAAGACCAAATCTTCCTTGGCGAGCATAGCACACTGTGCCCCCACCAGCTCTGGCTGTGGCAGACAGGTCCCATCCAAGAACCACATCTAGGCAAGACAGACCTCTCTACTCCACACTTACTGAGGGAAAAACAGAGGGGCTTCCTTGGACCAGAAGGAGGAGGAGTTTCAACTTTCTGGTCAGTGTTCATCCTCATTAAGTCCACTCATTACCAAGCACTCAACCCTCCTGGGCAGCATGGGAAACAGAAGCAGCCCAGCCTTTGTCAAAACCATGTGCACAGACAACAGGGCGCACACTTGAACGTGAGCTGTTCCACTCGGGTCCCCTCCCCTTTTTGCTCTTCCTGGCAGTTCTTCCCCAGTAGGAGAAAAGAAGAAGGCTGTGTCACTATAGCAACCAGCCTAATTGGTGGACTGCAGGTCCTTCTCCAGCCAGAGGGTGGAGCCCAGCTCCTATACAGGAATCCCTGTGCAGGAAGGAGGGGAGGACTCCTGGGCCCTAAGAGGCAAAGCACCCAGCACAGAAACCAGGCCAGGAGACCATCCGGTTCCTTCTCTGCAGCTCCAGAAGTGAGCACCCTACATGTGGCAGAGAAACACAGATTTAATAGGCAGGGTAATTGAATCCTGTATGATACTTATCAGGTTCCCTAATTAATAGGATACAAATATATCTGCTCCATAACACAAAACCATTTTGGGTAATAAAAATCCTTACTGATAACAAAAACAATTTACAAACAAAGACACTAACTATTCTTCTTCATTCTGGATACACTGGAAGAGAGAATGGAAATCACAGGAACTGTTTCATTTGCATTTTATTTGCTTGATCAAAAAGAAGTATTTTTTTTCTCTAGGACTGCAGTTCCAAGCTATAAGTTATTATTATGTCTATTTTGTATTTTAGTGAAATGTTTTAATTTCTCCAAGTGCATTTCTAGTGTAATGGGGTGTGCCTGAAAACGTTATCCTACTGTCAATTATTCCATTACGTGGAGATGGAAACATCTATAAAAATGTGGTTCGCTCAAGCTTCTGTTATTAATGATCTCTGCTATTCTGGATGAGACATTTTACCAAACGTCCTTGTCATGGTAGAAGAGCTGTTTCCTGAACGGCAGGGAGGCCTCCTGGAGATGAATGTGTGTGTGACACCGTTGCTCCCTCCTCGGTGTGCCTGGGCCGCCAGCTCAGCTGCAGACGACTGCACTCTGACACTGACTCAGTAGAGCCAGAGCGGGCAGCAGTCTCGAGAAGGTGTGAGCAGTCAGGATGAGCACAGTGATAACACCTTGGGATTCAGGACGTGGCGCTCGGTAGACAGGGCAGATGTGCTATTTCAAGAGAGTGGGTATAGGGTGCTCCCCCACTGGCACGGGGGTGTGCAGAGTGTTGAAGTCACAGGGCTGGGGTGTCATATACTTAACAACAATTAGCAGTTGTTCTTTTCCCCACCTGCAGAGCTGCTAGGTTGGGGGGAGGCAACCTGTTGTCCTGGGCTCTAGAAGCCAGTCCAGAATGGGCAACCAGCAGTGAGGCTCAGGGCACCTGAGTTTCCCCAAACGCTGCTGAATGAGACACCCTCCCCGTGCCACTAAGAAGCACAACCAAATGGCTCCGCAGCACAGGGAGTCTACCTACCACGGACCCTTTCTGCATAGCAGGGAAGCTGAGTGCATGGGAGTGTGTTACAGAACCCCCGGCCTTGCAAGGCCGGAGTAGAGTAGGGTGCAAATGTCACTCAGGCCCCCAGGCCCTGCTCCCCGCAGCTGGCAAGCTCTGAGGGGAGAAGGGAGAGTGCATACTGTGCCCAAGGTGGCCTTGCACCACTAGACAGCTCAGGTTACAACCCCAGCTCCCTGTGAAGCCTCCAGCTTGAGGACCTCTCCCCTCCTGCTGCCACAGCAATGACTGGGAAATGCACAGCCAGGCCGAAACAAGCAGGAGGATTCCTGCTCTAGGCACCAGGCTGGACTGTCCCAGGACTCAGGCCATGGACCTAGCTGCTTGCCTGGCCGGCTGCAGTCTCATTGGACTGGGAGCTAGAAGGCCCCTGGCTCTGGAGGTGGCAGTGGGGGAGGGGGGTTTGGCGCTGGCCTTTTTTTTTTTTTTTTGGGTAAAGAATCCATATTTTTCCATCACCTCCCGCGCCCATGGCAGCTCTCCATGACAGGTGTTCCCTGGCACTGTCCTTCCCTCCCTCTACGATGGGAAGGCACCCAGAGCTGTGTCTCACAGCCACGGACCTGGCCAGCCCAAGCCATCCCTGGTGAGCCTCTGTCCGGACGCTGACCACCCAAATCAGCTGAGAACGTGTACCCGGGACGCTGACCACCCAACCCAGTCCGGAGTCTGTACCTCGACTCCAACTACCCCTCCCCCAGCGCAGAGCCTGTGTCCAGGACACAGACCACCCCCCCTCCACCTCAGGCAACACAGCTCACATCCACCCTGACTCCCAGTTTATGCCTGGGATGCCGACCAACCAGCTCCGCACCAGTCCTGCGCCCGCAGCCCCGCACCAGAACTGCTGGTTAATAAGCTTGGTCCCAGACGCGACCCTCGAAACGCCCGCAGCGGCAGGCCCCTCCTGGCATCCGACCCCTCACTTCTTTTTTGAAAGAAAGCTCCTAGCGAGCCCGCTTCCCAAGGAGGCAGAAGCTCCAGCAGTGCGTCCCAGTCCGAGTCCCGCTCCGTTCCGGGCTGAGCCGCCGCGTCCCCCCTTGTCCTGGGCGGGATGGCGCCGGCGGGAAGCGCTGGACTGGGCGCTCCGCCGCCACCGGGCAGTGCTACTCGCCTGCCCCGACCTGCTGCCGAATCCCAGGCATGAAGCTCGGCCGGCGAGCCGCTGGCTAGGCTAAGAAAGCCGGCCTGGGCCGGGAGCGACTACAGAACACCGGGCAGCCGCGGGCACAGCCGTGCAGGGACGGGCCGCGCTACCCGGGGCCTGGGGCCCGGGCCCTGCCCCAGAGTCAGGGACAAGACCGGGGCAGAGGCGCCCAAACCCGAAGTGCCCGCGCTCCCGTAGCCTGGGCGGACCCTCGCCCTCCTCGCCCAGCGGAGCATCGGCCGGGGCCCCAGGGACCGTGCGCCCCCGTTCGCAACTCCGCGTCGACTCGGGGCGGCCCGTGAGGAGACTGCTGGGGGCTGGAGATGGGAGCCGGGCCGAGAGGGCCGTGAAGGGGCCTGGGCCGCGCGGTACTCACTGCAGTAGGCGATGAGCAGGCTGGCCAGGATCATGAACGCCCAAAAAGTTGAGGACATGCTGGGCAGGGTGGTCGCATCTTGCCGGCTGCCGGTCCTGGGCGATGGCGCCATTGAAGCCGCGGCGCCCGCGCGGGGGGCAGCAGCGCGTCTCAGCAGCCGGCCCTGCCCGCGCCCCCGCGCCGGCCTCCACGTGCGGGCCCAGCGCGCGCCATCCTCCTCCTCTTCCTCCTCC